ACAACCTAACTCTTTGTCTTTAGTAAACCATTGATAGAGACACTTGGCAATGTGACTATCATGCCCCGGAGCTGTGGAACAGAGGGAAAGTGAGGCTGGATTACTGGTGCAGTCGATTGATCCTTCAGAGGGAACAGGCGAAGGTCCGGTCACGGACCCTGTGTAGAAGTTGTCTGCTCGCCTGGATATAGCGATGGTGGTTATGCGGACCGAGCTAGTCGCCCTTCGTGGCAGGTTGGACGAGGTGCTGCCAAGGCTGGAGGTATTTTGTGAGTCCATCGTGAAGTTGATCAGATAGATCAGATTAGGTTTGGTGGGAATATGGTCCTTTGAAGGTTGTGTGGTAAGGGGGGGTGGGGTATGTCTCGTCTGAGGCCTTGGAGGACTCGTTTATAAAATATTTTGTTCGATACCTATAATAATGTTTTTTTCAATAAGTATTTACATAATAAATTTGAAAAGATGTTTACTGTGCCACTCATGATTTTGTGACTCTTTGTTTTACGCACTCCCCTTGTGCATAGGGCAAGGGGCCGTTCTTTTTCACTTTACGTGTTCTTTTTTTGTGACTTTAGTTTCTTTTCTTTTCACCTTCAGGTGTTTATTGTGTTATGTGCTGGCTCTAAAATATTCCCTCACCCTTTTCAGCTCCGGCAAGGGTGCTAACTCTTCATTTTTGACAGAAAATGAGAAGAAGGAACTAGAGAGCATATACGTTCATCATGTTAGTGTCACTCTTTGGAAGTTTTCTTGGTCAGCTCGGGCGACGAACGACGTGGGAAAGGACTTGATCTTTTACCGATACCAGTTTAAGTATGGCCTCCAGTTACATCTATACAATGAGCTCTAGAGTATATTCAATACATACAGGTGTATTTCAGGGCAAGTACTGTCGAACTTTGTCGTCGCGATGACTTTCGTTTTCTTTTTTCGGCGGGAGCGTATTTCGTGGTTGATTAACCTTTTTAAGTATTTCTTAAGCTTATGGTTGATAAGAAGGGCTTCATCATTTTTTACCTTGTTTTTGGGTCATATGAAGCTTTCGTTGTCATATGAAGCTTTTGGAATGGTCCTAGTGCCTCTAAACCCTAATAGTAACACACTTGCCTTTTTTTGGCCTGACATAGTCACGCCAGGTCTAGGGCATGATCACATTTACTGGGGGCGTGACCATGCCTTGGATGGGGAGTGGCCACACCCTGAATCCTATGTCACTAACCCGTGGGCTTTTTCCATGGATCCTCATCCCAATCGTCCTTTTTATCAGACAGTTAAAAAACATCTGACATTCTTCTACAGTTGCGGAAACCACTGAAGTAATCTGGACCATCGATCTCCCATCTGATCGACAACCTAGGATAGCCGTTGCCGCCTATAAAAGCGGTTGTTCGTCCTTATCGAGGTGCTTAAGAGCTCTGCGTGTATGTACTCAGTACATTGCTCTTGCTCGGAGGAAGTGAAGGAATCCAATGGTGAGGCAATCAAGATGGGTTCTCTGGTCAGCTGCCGCTTTGTAAGTATTTCTTCCCTTTCATTTTCCTTTTATGTTAAGTGTTTAATTTAATAATTTAATTTCAATGTTTTAAAGAGGTAGTTTAGGTTAACTCAATAGCCTTGTATTAGGGTTGAATTTGGGTTTGACTCAGATCGACCCAAACATGACCTAATCCTATTCTCTAAAATGGATTAAACCAAACCCTAAAATCTAACCTAGGTCTGACCCAACTGAGACCTGACCCAACCTAATTTCGACCCAGATCAGGTCTAGCCCAACCTAACTCAAACCTAAAAACTTACCTAGGTCTTACCCAACCCAACCTAGACCCGACCCAGTTAAGGTCTAGCCCAACCTAATCCAAACCCTAAGACATAACCCAGATCTGACTCGACCACCTGACCCAAATCAAGTGTAGTCCCACCTAATCCAAATAACCCAAAAACACCTCGAAACCAACCAAATCACTCGAAACGCTCTGAAACCATTAGAATAACTCAAAAATACCCCAAAATCATCCAAATGACTTGAAATGACCCGAATTACCAAATAAAAAATGGCTGACCCACGTTCAAACCCTAAAGCCGAGTTTAATCCAAGGCTATTAACATGTTTTCTTTATTTTCATGTGTGCGCTTCAAAACAAAAGTAACCAAAATATATAAAATTAAAAGGAGGAAAATCTCTTGTAAAGTAGTTTTTCTCTGTAAACATAACAATTTTAATCAAAACTAGGAACACCTTGGTTTTCAATCATGACTGACAAACCTAGGAAATAAAACCAAAACATCAATTAAATTTTGAACCCTAAACAAACATATAAAATACATCAAGATAAATAATGAGAATGAAACTTAGGGAGATCCAACATGAAATCTAGATTAACTAACTTAGACAACAAACTTAAATCCATACATGTATCCCAGGTTAGTCTTGGTATAGAGGCCTAGGGTTGTTTAGACACCCTAGCTAGCTCTAAGGACCATAACCTATAAAAGAAACAAACCTACCCCCTGAAGCTAAAGGGAATACCCTAAAAGAATGTAACTCATGCTTACAGATGAAAGTATTTCAGACTTTTTTGAGACTATGAAGCCTCTGAGCTACGACGTTTAAGGAGGATTCCTGGTTATGAGTTTTGTCATAGTGGATGGATACCAACACATCGAGGATGACGGAAAGTAATGGACATCTTGACCGGGTACTTTATTCCTAAGGTCTAGGTAAGTCCGCCTATTAGGATTCTTTGTAGAGTCTAGGGTTTCATTTTTTCATCTAGAAATATTTCTTACCCTACTCTATTCCTAGTTTAGGATTCCTAAGTATTTATGTCAATCAAATGAATTATTTTTAATTAATCTCTTAACCTAACCCGATCAATTTAAATGTTCTAAATCACTTCTCATCAGGTATTGTTCTCTATCTAGGCCCTTGTTTTTGAAAATCCCATCCATTTAAAATCTTCTCCTCTAAAGCTTAATCTTGAACAATTTGGTTTATCGTATTAATCAAGAGTTTTCTTTAGGGGGTCTATGATCCTAGACGTATTAATCAAGAGTTTTCTTTAGGGTCTATGATCCTAGAGATGTAATTAATTATGAGGGGTTTCCCTTGTAGGAAATGAGGTTCTCAGAATTAAATCTTGTCTTACATATGTGAGATAAAATCCTGGTTCCGCGGACCCATAAAAATTTCCTCATTCGGATGATTAAGTCAATTCCAAGGTAATATTCTTATCCTTCTGGCTAGTATATTATTCTTTGAATGTCGTATCTGGTCATTCAGATTGGAGTCTTCAGAGGTCTATGGT